TATACTATGGTGTGTGTATATATATATATATATATATATTTATTAATGAGAAGAATTTAGTGTGCGTTTCATTTCATTATGGTATCAGAGTAATAACTAAGGCATCAAAATTGCTTCTTCTTAGAGTCACGTTTAAGTCTTTTATTTCTTCTCTTCCACTGTCGTGTTTCTTTGCTCTATAGTTATGACTTCCTTTATTGATAATTCTCAAACTTCTCTGGTTTTAACCTCTCAAACCTCTCCTCCACATATCTCAACCTCAACAGCAGTCCTCCCTATCACTACTATGGGTGCAACACCTATTTCTTCTATATATTCTCATCCAATATTTGCTGTTCCCAACATTAAAAACTTTGTTTATGAAGTTCTTCATCATCATAATTACATTTTGTGGAAGGAGTTGATGATTCCTTTCATTCACAGCAAAGGAGTTTTTGGTCATCTAGATGGATCTGATCCTTGTCCTCCTATAACAGATCCAAGTTTTGAGCAATGGATGTAGATTGATTATCAAATTCTCACCTAGATTCAAGCAACAATTTCATCTGAGATCTTGCAATTTATTATTCAACCAAGTAGATCTTTTACAACTAAACAAGCCTGGGATGCAATTGAGCTAGCCTACCATGATAAACTTGAGGCAAATGCTATTTATATCGTCAAGAATATGTTGCACTTAAAAAGGAGCCAAATCAATTTATGCTTGAATATCTTCAACAAGCCAAGAAAATTGCAGATAAGTTATATTCCATAAAGGATCCTGTATCTGATCGTGATTTTGGTTGGCCTGGATCAAGCTTATAGTGTTTCAAAACGCATTTTACCACAAAGCAGTGGCGGAGCCAGAGGGGCGCGAGGGGGGGCGCTCGCCCCCCCTGAAATTTGAAAACCTTGCAAATTAGTATATGAAAAATTATCTAGCCTCCCCTAAACTTTGAAAATTTTAGTATTTTGCCCCCCCTGAAAAAAATTTCTGCCTCTGCCCCTGCCACAAAGAGTGCCTTTTCCATCTTGTCTGCAACTTCGATCTCTTTTCTTGATTGAAGAAGCCAATTTAAAACATGAAACTCATCAATCTCATGTTTCAGACTCAGTTTCTTCTCCACAAGTCTTGATTTCATCCACTGTTTCTCAACAATAAAAGGAAATTTCTGGTGCATCTCATCCTTCATTCAAAAGTAACAATTACTGTAGAGGACTGAATAATTTTAGGGAACATGGAGGACGTTTTCAAGGCAATCGATCATCAAGACAAGCATATTTTTCTTATTGTGGTTTTCAAGGATCTAATTTTTCTCAGCCTCAGAATCCTTTTTCTCCTCAGGTTCCCTGGTGTGCAGCACCTTAACCTTCTTTGCTTCTGGTAACATCTCAACCTCCTTTGCTTTTGGTAACATCTCAACCTCCTCTGCTTCCAACACCATCATCTGTGATTTTTTGTCAGTGGTGTGGAAAGATGAATCACCAAGCTTGTGATTGTCCTCTTGTTTCTTAATCATCTCAATCTTCTCAACAACCATCCACTCCACAGACTTATATGGTGGATAGTGCGCCTTCTTCATGTTTCTTTGATAATGCCTCTACAACCTCTACTAATCATGGTTGGGCTTTTGACTTTGGTTCACTAGAACATTTTTTTATGAGAGATAGAGCACACTATAACTCTAAAAGTAATTAATTTAGAGTTATATGAAATTTTATATAAATTTTATATAAAATTCTTCTTATTAATAAATATATATACATACAATAGTATATTAAGCCAAGCTATGAGTAAGAAATGGACTATATACAAAAATACATTCTATTATCCCCCCTCAATTTGTGCGGGACCAGGAAGAACGCATAAATTGCTGCAAAGAAAATGAAACTGTTGTTTTGCAAGTCCTTTGATCAAAATATGAGCCACTTAATCTAAAGAAGAATCATACCATAAGTGAATCAAACCAGAGGCCACCCTTTCACGGACAAAATGTAAATCGATCTCTATGTGCTTCATACGTTGATGCTACACTGGATTAATAGACATAGATAAAGCACTAACATTATCACAATAAAGAGTAGCAGGAGAAGAAACAGAAAAGCATAGTTCAAACAAAAGCTGTCAAACCCATGCTGCCTCTGCAACAGCATTAGCAATTGCTCTATATTCTGCCTCCGCACTAAAGAGAGAAACTGTAGACTACTTTTTCGAAGATCAAGAAATAATAGAATTGCCAAGAAAGAGGCAAAACCCAGATGTAGACTGACAGATATCCAAGCATCCTACCCAATCAGCATAAGTAAAAATATGAAGAGAAAAGGATTGGATCTTCTGAAGCTGAAGTCCATAATGTAATGTCCCTTTCAAGTATCTAAGAATACGTTTGATTGCCCAAAAATGATTAACTGTAGGAGCATGCATATACTAACAAACTTGCTGAACTGAAAAAGAAATATTTAGACAAGTAAAAGTAACATACTACAAAGCACCAACCAAACTATGATAACTAAAAGGATCGAAATAATAGGAACTATCATTAGCAGCCAATTTTTTCCAAGAATCAAGAGGAGTAGCCACTGAATTGTAGTTAGACATTTCACTACGATTAAGAAGTTTAAGAATATATTTGGACTAATTCAAAAACAAACAAGTGGAATTAACTATTATAGTAATCCCCAAAAAATAATGTAAGTCTCCCAAATCTATCATAAAAAATTCTTTCTTCAAAGGAGAAATAAGCACAGACATCAAAGAAGTGCTAAAAGTAGTTAAAATGATGACATCAACATAAAGTAGCAAAATAGCCATAGACTCGTGAGTTCTATAAATAAACATAGAAGAATCTATTCTTGCCTACACAAAACCTGAAGAAAGCAAAAAGGAGGCAAAACAATAAAACCAAACTCGCAATGCCTACTTAAGACCATAAAGAGCTTTCTTTAATTTGCAAACAAAATCTGGCCGAGAAGAATCAATAAAACCAGGAGGTTGACACAAATAAACAGGTTGCAAAAAATCACCATTCAAAAAGGCATTTTTAACATCCAACTGGTGTAATGGCCAAGAAAGTGAAACTACAAGTGTTAACACTGTTCGAATTGTAACAAGTTTAACCATAGAACTAAAAGTATGATCATAATCAAACCCTAACTACTGAGTATATCCTTGTGCTACCAAATGAGCCTTATACCACTCAATTGAACCATATGATTTTTGCTCTATGCGATACACCCATTTAGACCCAACAATATTAACATTTGGAGGACAAAGAACCAAATCCCATGTTTTATTATGTAAAAGAGCAGTATACTCCTCTTGCATTGTTGTATGCCATTCAAGGAATTAAATTGCTTGAGCAAAATATTTGGGCTCCACCATTAAGACAGATTTAGAAACAAGAGATGGTAAATGGTGTACCTTTTGAGTACCATCTTGAGATCTAGTAACCATCAGATGTGTTTGAACTAAGCCGACAGATGTTGTGGAAGGTATAGTAGTTGCAATAGAAGAATCTAGTTGTTGGTCAAAATTCACCTCACAAGGAGGAGAAGTAGATGGGTTTAGAATGTGCTACTCAAAAGAAGAATCAACAGATTGAGTAAGAGACAGATTAGGCATGTGTTGCTCGTGGGTGCATGATAAATCATTAGTCTACAAGGTTTGGGACGGATGAGTAGAGAGATTAGCTGATGAAGGATGGATGGAAGTGTTAGTCGACGATAAGAAATGAGTGGGTGAGAACAAGTCATGGGGGGATTTTTGATTTGTGTGGATGGAAGTAGGTGGAGTGGGTGAGACACGGGTTGAATTTTTATTGGATGGAGGAAGAATAATAGCA